CCTGGAGCAGAGATGCTCACAGTGAACGCTTGGACTTGGGAAACTTTGCGTAAGTCAATAGCTCTGCTGGAAATGGAAAAAGGATTGGGTAAGGCTTTTTGCTCAAGACTGATATAACTGTTAAAAAGAATGTTCTATCCTGTCCTAAAAACAAAAACAAAATGACTGAAGAGTGAGCCAAGAGGAAGCAGGCCCTACAGGGCGGGTAATATTACAGTTTCAGAGAATAATACAAAACAGCTCACAATTGTGACTCTTTGGCTCCTTTTCTTCCTGTGCCTGGAAGGTGTCAATGGGTCTCCCTGTGTTCACCTGGTTCCTGCTGGTGCTCACAGACACACCCACACCTCCACCCCTCTAAGACAAATGTGAAGAGGGCTTTCCATCAGCTCAACTGCACCTATGTAATCAGTGATGATTGAGGTCTGGTCTCTTCATCCAGGGGCAGCGTCAGCCCTATCTGGGAACTTATTAGAAGGGAAACAAACTCTCAGGTCTGGGCCAGACATGCTGGGATTCTAAACCAACTGCAAACTTAAGAAATCCTAGTCTTGAGTGAGATTCAGTAAGAGTAGCCACTCTTTGGTTTTCTAACATCTATCATAGAATTACTAAAACTAATAAGGAGTTAAATCAAACTTTTGGACTCTGCAGTATGTTAGAGAGAGATTAGAGTATAAGATGAATTGGGAACCACCTGACAGAGGTGTGAAGTCAAATTTCTTAATGCTTTATTTTAATCAGAGCAGCTCCAGATGACTGTTTTTGAAGGTTATAGCAAAAAAAATTATTTATTTGCAAAAATTAGTGTCAATGGAGTTTTTGGCACTGACAGAGTGGTAAGATGTATCAAAATGTTAGATTGGCCCCAATTTTAATGCCTGTTATGGGTTAAATTGTGTTCCCTGAGATTCATATGTTGAAGGGCTAACCCAAGAACTGCTGACTGTACTTGGAGTTTTCTCACAGAATTTTCTCCTCATAGACTTTTTCCAATACAGAATTCTCACCTCTTTTCCTCACAGATTTGTCTCCTCATTGACTTTTTAACTTTCTCCTTAGTCTTTTCTTTCAGACTTTTGGTGGGCTTTTTCTATCACAGGATTCTTGCCTCTTCAGAGAATTCTATCCTTGCCTCTTCAGGATTCTTGCCTCTTCAGAGAATTCTATCCTTGTTGACTTTTCTCCTCAATTTCTCTCAAATGTTTCCTCATAGAATTCTTCATAAACATTATATAACATGTCAACTCATAGGCTTTTACTTTTTTTCTCTAGAATTTTCTCTTTAGACTTTAATTACTTTCCTCTTCGGGTTTTTTGCTCAGAGGTTTTATCCTGACAGAATTTTCTCATGTAATTTATCTTCAGAGACTTTATGTTCTCCATCACTGAGTTACCTCATCATTGATTTTCTCCTCATTGATGCCTCTTCATTGAATTTTTTCCTCATCCAATTTTCTCCTTGTAGATTTTTCTCCTCAGAAATTTCTCCTACAGATTTTCTCATTAGACATTCCCTACACTTTCCTTCTTGACATTCTCCTCATACTTTTGCTCCTCACAGAAATATCTAACCATTTATTTTTTTCTTCAGAGACTTATCCTCAGAGACTATGTCCTCATAATTTTCTCCTCATAGCATTTTTTCTTACTAAATTACCATTGACTTTTCTTCTCACTGATTTCTCTCATCATAGCATTTTCTTGTCAAAAACAGGCTTTTCTCCTCAGATTTTTCTTTTCATAAACTCTTTCCTTGCAGAATTCTATTCTCATGTTTCTTTCTCCTAACACATTTGTTATACTCAGATATTAATTTTCCTTCAGAAATGCACTTCTCTTACACATTTATTTCTCCTCAAGTACTTATACTTACTCATCTACTTTTCTGTAAATATTTATATTTGTTTTCTTGTTAAGTTTTGCCATATACTCTATGGAAATATAAGAGGGGAAGACATTATTTATTTTGAAGGAAATGTATTTTTATGTATCTATTAAGCTCTCAATTATATTGTAACGGTCTTTAATATTATTTACATATTTTTAATTGTACCAAACTTTGTGAAGGATGTGTTCCAAGTAATCATTCTTTAGCTAGTGCCATTTTCCATGGGAATATTTATTGTACATTAACTTCTAAAAATATTCAATTTATATTTGTTAATGTTCTGATTCCTTTGTAAAATGTCATCATACTCTTTAAACATTAAGTCTTGAAATTAAAATCTGTTAGCAAAATACAAAGCAGGTGAAAAGGTAAAATGAAGTCAGTAGGTGGGTCCTAATATTGAAGTCCACAACATCTGAGACAAGATTATTGTTTTTTGAGAAAAAGATTTAAGAAAGAATAAGAAAAAAAGCCACCAACAAAGTTTATTAGGGAAAAAAAAGACAGGGTAGTCTCAGAAAAGCTGCTGGAGCAGTAAAGCATAGGGTTTTTACTTTGTTTCTTTCTGAGTGGGGATGGGTTCTTCTTAATTATGCAAACCTTGCTTCCATCACTCCTCCCAAATCCTGGGCTAACTGGAACTCCCCTCCCCTTCTCTTTATGAGCAATGACACTTAAAAGACTCTTCCCAGACCTTCCAGATATACCAGGTCTTAATCTAGTTCTTGGAACATAGCTGTAGCCTCAGCTGCCATGTCAGAAAGCAGAGATGCAGCTGTGCTCCTCTGGGAGAATGTGTGCGAGCCCTTTCCTCTCCCTAACACTAATCCAATAAGAAGAGGAGACCAAAGAGGGAGCTGTGGGAAGAGACAGGAAGGAAGCCTCCCATGAAACCAACCCTGCTGACATCTTGAACTGAGATTTCTGGGGTCCACAATCATCAGAAATAAATTCCTGTTGTTTAGTCTATCCAGTGCGTGTACTATTTATGGCCACCCTAATAAACTAGCACGACACACAAAGACACTGCTCATGATAAGGCTGGGCCTCGCCCGACAATTACTGTTGTGATAGGCAATTGTGCCATTCCAAACGTCCAGCTCACCACCTCCATGGGAAGATAATGATATTGCACCTTCCCACTCCCTGAAGAAGTTGAGCACAGCCACATGCTGTCCTGCAGCCCATATAAGGTGAACAGAAGTGACAGGTCAACTCCAAGCAGGCCCATAAGGAACTGAGCACAGTTCCCCCTTCTCCCTGGAACCAGGGATGTCGTGGACCCCCTTCCCAATCCAGTCACAATGAACTTGTACTGAGAACAGCCTGTCATGCCATATTAGTCCGACATTCCACGATGCTCGTTTTGACAGTACATCCTAGCCTCTCCTGACTGACTGCTACCTCACCTTTCTCGCAATTTAAAATTTGTCAAATTCAAATATTCAGTGTTTATTTAATTCAAATAAGCATATCAATTACATTATTGATCTTTCTTTAGTTTGGATTTTTTCTAACCTACAGACATGCATATAAGGCCATATATGCTGTATGTGAGCTGGTAAGAGAGCTCAAGCTTTCTTATAGAAGGTGTGGAGAGGACACTGAGATTTGTCCAGGGAAAGGCCAATTTAGTGAGCCTCTCTCTGCATGGGCAGGCACTGTGTAAGTACAGAACATAACAATTCTGTGCCAAACTGGCCAGCTATTCTCTCTTTGAATCCATCCAACATACGGCATCCCATACAAGAGAGACTGGAGCCAGTGGGTGGGTGAACTATGATGAGACCTCATTCCTCCTGGCTCTCAGCCCAGCACCTTTTGCATGCTACCCATCTGTCAGTCCTTCAAGAATAAAAAAAAATACAATTTCATGTTGGTCAACAATAACAGCTCCTATCAAGGACAGATTAAGTTCAAAGCTTGGACATAATTCTATTGTTTACCAATGAAAAGAAAACCATTTTTGCACTAGCATTTGCTTCCAAAAAATAATGTTCATGCAATCCATTCACCCTGCTCACTGTAAGCCCTTCCAAACCCATCACAAATCCAGCTTTTTCTGAATAGCTTCCCACCTGGAGACCCACCCATGGCATCACTGCACTCCAGTCTGAGGAGCCAAACCACCTGTGTGAGTTGTCCAGTGGGCTGTGACAGTGATTAATCAGGTGATAAGCTTATTTGTTCTCACAGGCCCTGTCAGGAGCAGGTGGAAAGAATGTTGAGGAGGGAAAACACATGGAATGGGGGTTCTCTAGCACCGTCCTATGAGCAGGGTAGCCAGATGTGGGCAGATGCCACCTCTTGTATTCAGACTTTGGTTTTGGTTTCTATGCACAGTTAGTTGTGAGTAGCAGTGTCATAAACCAACCATCCCGAAAGTTCATGGTATACTACCACCTATTAGGATTTTTTTCTTTAAAGCACATAAAGTTAGAGGTTTTATTGCCTCACTATATAATGAACATAGAATCTTCTCAAAATGGAGAGAATACACTTTGTTATTTCAAGCTTTACTTAAATCTCTTTGTTCAGGAAATTAAAATAGTGCCAATTAATAATTAATTTCATATCTCAGTTTATAGACTATAAAGTACAAAGTTAATTCAATCTCAGGACAGCAAATACCCTCTCTTAATTCACTGTAGAAAAACAAAACACCATGTCAAATTATGTAAATGGTCTGTAAAGATGCTGTGTTCTTAACTAGCATGAAATGTCAAAAATGAAAGCTTACTTGGGAAATTGCAAAACCTAATACATGTAGTAATGTGTATTCCTTTCATTACATACAAAAACCATCTGCTGGCAATTATGTGTCAAATAGGCCTGTCAAAGCTTTGCAAGAGAAGAATTTTTCCTCAGAGCCACACAATCTACATTATTTTAGTTTTAACCTTGAGTACAGGCTGGGTTGTTTAAACAACCATTCATGCCCACAGCTAGAGAAAGCAGAAAATTCCATCAGTTCTCATTGGCTCCAACCCAGGCACAATTTTGGATCAAGGGGGGCTGAGCAAACAGACTGTCCACTTGGTGCTTTGCTACCTAGTGCTGAGCTCACCAAGGAATTCTGACATAGCAACATGGACGTTTCTCTCTTTAGCGGCCACGGCTTCTGGAACCCACACAGTCTCCTGAGGCCGTGCTGTCCAGTTCTCCCTGGGCAAAAGTCAGCTCCCTCAGGGTGAGTGAAGCATGTGCACATCTGGAGGTGCAAAAATGTACCCCCAAAATGATGTCATTATATAAAGGACTGCTCAGTTAATACCATTTGAGGGCACATTACAGTCCAAACAGCTCATGGGGTGTGGGGAGAAAAAGCCCCAATGGCAGAACCACACTTTACCGCATTCTTCCATGTCCCCCGTGTTAACCACAAAAAGTGAAATGTCAGTAGCATTGATAAAGACGCTGCCACTCTCACTCCAGAAAGTGTCCACAGGGCCCAAAAGTCCAAACAGCAGCTTTTAATTTAGTGCTAATAAGGACTGATGGGACCGCTGTGTTATTCTCTTGAACTGAATTCATTCCAGCTCCCCTGACACCTCCAGTGTCTGGTATGGAAAGAACAGGGTGGTGCTGGGGAATGGTGAAGTGAACCCCCTTTCCTGTCCTGGCAAGGGATGGTCTCTGGGCATCTTAACCTCTTAACTTCTTGCCCCAGGTAACTCCCCTCAGTTGTGGAGATTAATCATATCCTTCTGTTACAAGTATTTAGCAACACTGAAACAGAACTCCCCCAAATATTACTTTCTCTTTCTCCCAAACCACTGCTATAGTGAGAAGTCAAGTGTCTAATGATGCTGTCTAATATGGCAATCACCAGCCCCTATTAGAATTGTGTATTTAAATCAATTAAAACTAGGTCCAATTTCAATTCTTGAGCTGTACTTACTGAATTTTAAGAACTTTGTAGTCACATATAGCTCATGGCAGATGCAGAACATATTCTTCAAATAGTTCTGTTGGCTAGAGCTGGTGACCTTGTCTACTCCAACGTAGCGACTTCTGAACATGCCATGTCAGCCTCTACCTAAATTACGTCATGGTGAAACATGGTGATCAGGGTGCTGAAGCTCCAAAAGACAGTGGGCAATATAGGACAGGTGGTCTATAGGACCTGTGGGTTCTTCATCTGTGCACACTGCTGCAAGACCAATCAGACTCAGTGACAATGGGGGGAACAACAGTGGAGTTTATTTAACCAAGAGGGAAGAAGTTCTCCCAGCCACAAGTGGGTGGGTTATCTCACCCCCAGAAAGTGTCCACAGGGTCCAAAATTTTAATCCAAAGCCACTTATCCAAGATGGCGCTGTCCTGCCAACAAGGGTGTGGAGCTCACGGTAGCCACAAGCAGTGGGCAGAATCCAACTCACATCAGCTGGAGGGCCTCACAGGTGGGGCCGCTGAGATGACCCACAGCAGTCCGCAGCAACAGTGATGTTCAGAATGGACAGCACTGGGTGGGTGCTGGACCAGACCAGCAACAGAGGCGGCCACACCGGGAGGTAATGCCAGATGATCACAGCACTCAGAGGTGACGGCACCCATCAGCAGTGCTGGTCACCCGGTCACGAGCACTATCGCTGTCTGTAAGCTGTTGGCCCACACCAAAAACAAACAGCTCTTTGGGACACCAGGCCGGGGGCCTCTGATGCTCCTTTCAGGCAGTGTCACAGGTAGGCTGGAGGCAGATGTTGCTGGCCTGGCCTCTGCGAAGCTCTTTTGGCTTTTCTTAGTTCTTCAGAGGTCGGAGGTCGGAGGTTGGAGGTCGGCTACTGGAAGCTGCTGCTTCTCCTCTGCGAGATCAGTGTGGGGTAAAGGGAAGTGAACCGGGTTTTCCGGCCCTCACACCACTAGCGTCTATGATTGACACCTGTGGTCTTACACGTGTGCCTGATGGTGACACCTGGGGTGCGCTGTGGGCGAACGTGGGTGGAACACCTGAGCCAAAAGACCAAGCATGTAAGAGCAGAGAACCATGGAGCAGGGTGTGGAGGGAAGGGACCCGCGAAGAGACTGCGAGAGAGTGCCTGCAAGCCCAGAAAGAGTAAAGATTTGCCGGAGGCGAGGGGCCCGCCACCTCCTGCCCCCCCAGCCCCCTGCCCACCCTGCACCTGGTTGCCTCACTACAAATAGTGTAGAAAGATCTTTAAACACCTGAAAAAGCCACTGAGGGCCTCTGGACTTCTTTTCCCAACTGCCCAGATCATAAAAAACCTGCTCTGTGCCTTCCTGGCTCCACAGTCAGGAACCGAATCAGTGAGAGAAACTTCAGGCAGAATCTCGCCTCAGAGGCCATGGCTGGCAGCCTTCCCAGAGTGGCCATGAGAGCTGAGCCCAAGGCAGTCCCAAGCTGGCTCCTGCCCTGCCTTATTTCCCCTTTCAGGGGCCCCACCACAACAAGTCTGGTCAGACCATTTTCAGTCCTGTGGCTGACTGACCCATTTCCCATCAGCTTATAGCTTGCATCTGACCTGTCCACTCTACCATCCAGGTACTAAATCCACAGGCATCTCTACTGCCTACAGCTGGAGGGAGCCACGGGCTGGAGCCAGCCTTTGGAGGGGACCCAGGCTCCTACCTGCAACCCTGGGCCAGGGGTTGAAAGCCCTGAAGTAGGAAGTGGGGTAGGGGAACCACTCTCCACCCACCCCCCATCACTGCTGGTCTCTGCCTACAGCCTGAGATGCAGTGGGACCCCTGGTAGAGGATGGTAAAATGTCCGTCATCCAGCACCTGCACTGCTCACAAGCAGATTCTAGGACTGAGACCCTTAAGCCTGAGGTGGAGGCCTCCAGTTTCCATTTTTGGAGCCTTTATTTGCTGACAGGATAAATGGAATCCTCTGTTTCCTACAGCCTCTCTTTTATGAAGAAGCTTGTCTCCAGATGTTTCCATCAAAGAATTTAGTCTCCTTAACTTCACAGGGTCAGGAAACTTCCATGAGCATCTCACTCAGCCCAGATCTGCACTCTGGAATCCTGGCACCTTGCTTTCCTGTGCAGCCTGGCAGGTCTGGGCACGGATAGAAAGTGCCAGGCCCACCCCCTGGCTGCTCACTCCCTGCAGGCTGGTTCAGTAGTGTTAGGCACTGTATTTAGGAAATTGGATTCTCCCAAGAGCCTCAATCCTTCAAGGGAGAGATGAGGAAACTCAATGTTTAGGTATCAGCTCACTCCATGGAATAGGGCGTCGCTTGTCTGGTGAAAGCAAAATGTCTTCTTCTAGGGGCTTCAGGACATACATCCTGGACCTGAAAACACAACATGGCAGACATATAGGTTTATGGAGCTCACCTACGCCTAATCCAAAGTTTCCTAGATGCACACAGAGGTAGCCCAAGGAAGCAGATGAACCACATTTTCATAAATGTTCCTGGTTCCAAGGCCCAGAGATAAGATTGTCTCAGTCACAGCTGAACTTTGTTTCATCAACTTCCAACAGTCGAGGACTGAATACCTATCTTCTCCCAGCTCCACCCACCTTCACCTGTAATTGCTATGGAGAAGGGTAAACGAGGAACATGGAGTCACAGTTTCTGACTTACCAATGGCTCCAATAAAAGATCAGGTGAAGAGAATTTATCTAGTGGCTCCACAGGCTTCATCACTGTCACCCCTTCTCATTAGTTGTGAAAAGAACTCCACAGCTGAGTGCTTTCTTTTCAAGATTATATCCAATTTTAGTAGTGAGAACAGTAACAGCAACCACAGCTGCCACTGATGGCACTGTCCTCAGTGCTGAACAGCCTCGTATATCAATGCAAGAGAAGGGGCAAAGCGCTGAGGTTGGAAGGACCCAAAGGTGCCAGGAGTAGAGCCACACCCCTGGGTCACTCATGACACCTGTTCAAACCAGGCCACCTGACAACAAGTCTGAGCTGCTGTGCTAACTGCAATGATAAAAGAACCAAAGACTTTAAGACTTAGAGTGACCACCACATCCCAACACCTCCACTCCCACACCTCCCCCTCAGAGGCAACCATTTAGTGGCTCCCACTGTCCTCCCAGATGGAAAATCCCATTTGTCACACAGAGGGAAGGTTTCCTTCTCCTATGATATCAACTTTGCTATCCTAGCCACACAGGGGTCTGGAGCAGCCACGGTGAAGTTTCTCTCACCCTGCCCCCAACCTATAATAGCCAATATCTCTGAATTTTTTCCTGAGATAGTCTTACATGTTTCCACATGTGTAAATATATGCATGTGTGTGTGGCATTTGCATCTTTTTTTTAACAAACAGTAGCTTCTGGGTTGCCCTATTCTATACTTTGTTGTCCACAAATAACATGATACCTTCAAGTAGGTTCAATATCCAAATACCTGGCTTGCCCTTCTCCTTCATGGCTGCACAATATTCCACTAGGTGAAGGAAAACCACTACGTGGTACCCTGGGACCATTATCATTCAAGCTTGTTTGTCCAATCTTTCTATTCTACAATTTTTTTTCTCCCCAAAAATGCATTGATGCTTCTGGTGTACCTGGCACTGTTCTAGGAATACAGTAGAAAATGAAATATTCTAGGAGTTTACAATCCACATGCACAGGTGAACATACGCAAACATGCTTTTTGCGAACAAATGTGAATCTATCGTTACTATAAACTCTAGACATGGAATTTTGCTGTTTTCATGGATGTTTCAAATAGCCAACCACAGGGTTATACCACTTTACTCTCCCACTTTTGTACTGAATATTTATTATATTAGCAGTCATTATAGTTTTTCTATACCATTAGATTTCTTAAATACAAACCAAGTTTTCTATCTGTATATGAACAGAGAAAAAAATTACCCATGTTACCATGATTTCCTTATTATATAAAGAGCTTCTACAAATCAAATAGAAATCCAACAATCACAATGAAAAATGGACAAAGGGAGCTTTGCTGGTGGTGCAAAGGGCTAAGTCTCAGCTCTAGGAAGCTATTGGCAGCCATGGCAGCACGAGTTTGACCCTCAGCCAGGGAGCTGACCCACATAGCGCAGCAGACCTCTCCTGTCTCGCCCGCTGCTCCCCTCAGTGGTGTATTTCAATAGATCTGCCTGCTCTGTTCCCCACTCGGTCTCTGGTGAAGCCTCTCACCCCCTGCACCTCTGTCTTGGACCCTAGTTCTTCTATGTAAAAATAGATAAAACCTTAAAAAAAGGAAGAAAGAAAAATGGACAAAGGACGAACAGGCAGTTCTCAGCAAAGGAAATATTCTCCTGTGTTCCAGAACATGTTTACAAATGAATGTCATAATTAAAACCACTTTAAATACATGTTCCAGTGCAACGTCAATCTGTCTCAATCATAGTTATTACACTGTTAGTAATAATTGACCTTGAAGAGTCCCCTGAGCTCCTGTAAGCAGCACCTGTGGCCTCCTGTCTCCCATGAGCCGCCTTCCCGTTGACTTTCCCTGACTCTCACCATGGACTACAGAAGCACCGAGGCCGCATCCGTGACCCACACACTTGACTTCCTGGTCCCCCAGAATAGGGTGCTGTCTACTCTCACTCCCTGGCTCTGCCAGGCCCCTGAGTCCTTTCCAGGATTCTGTCCTCAACACATGCCTGTTCTCTGGAGGCCTGTCCTTGTCCTGGGTGCCTTCATCCCACACATGGAAAGCCCGAAGAGCCTGGCTTTGGCACCCAGTGGCCTTCAGGTAATGACTGGCAGGCCCAGTCTCCTGGCCAGGGTGGGGCCGACTGTGAGAGTAACTCACATTCAGAGCCAGCCTGCAAATCAGGTCGAGCTCCACTTCCTGAGCTTTTGTCTGAGACCCTTGCTTGCTCTCCCCCTTCCAGTCCTTATTGGTTGCTCCTAGGTGTCTTCATAAACCATCGCACTTTGCTCCCTCAGGGCCTGTGGCTGAGACCCCCAACACAAGAACTGGTCTTTTTTACTTTTATCCAAATTGCCTGGTTATAATCAGAAGCTATCAGTTTTTTTAATTTGTGAGGTAGTGAGTAATCTTTTATATACTCTCTTAAGCAAAACAAAACACCCACCGCCATCTCTTAGACCTGCTCCATCCTTGCTCCCACCTTTCACCTCTTATAAGCTCATTTTCTTTTTCTTTTTCTTTTTTTTTAAAGATTTATTTATTTATTCAGACAGAACTGGGGTACTGGCCAGAGACATGGAGGGTGAGAGGATTCACCAGGGACAGAGTGGTGAGTAGAACAGGCAGATCAACCAAGTACACTGCTGAGGAGAGCAGCGGGCCGGTCAGGAGAGGTCTGCTGCAGGTCAGGAGAGGTCTGCCATACCATGTGGTCACCTCCGGGGCAGGCGGGATCGAATTCATGCAGAAGTGGCTTAAGCTTCTTAGTGCTGAGCTTTAACCCGCTGCGCCACCAGGAAGGGCTCTTTCTAAGCCCCAGGGGGGGGGTGCTAGCGTGGGGGTTTGGGGGGGATGGTGGCAGCGCAGGCCCTTCTGGGAGGGTGGTATCTGTGGAAGGATCTGAAGGAAGGCCCGGAGCCACCGTACTTAAAACTATAACCACCTCCTAAGTCGCCATCCCCTTTCTGGTGCCTTCTTGTCACAGCGCCTAGGTGCGTCCCACACAGGGCACCTTGCTGAGCCTCTTTGAAGGCCTGGCCCTCCGCCTGCCTGACTTCCGCCAGGGAGACATCCCTATTTTTCCCCTGGACCTACTGAGTAGTTATCCTCAAAAGTATCTTCGGGCCCTCCCTGGTGGCGCAGCGGGTTAAAGCACAGCACTGAGAATCTAAAGCCGCTTCCGCATGAGTTCAATTCCCGCCTGCCCCGGAGGTGACCACATGGCGTGGCAGACCTCTCCTGACCCGCCCACTGCTCCCCTCAGCAGTGTACTTCGTCGATCTGCCTGTTCTGTTCCCCACTCTGTCTCTGGTGAAGCCTCTCACCGCCCCTGGCCTGTACCCCGGTTCTGTATGCACAAATAAATAAATCTTTAAAAAAAAAAAAAAAGTATCTTCGGGGGAGGTAAGGAGAGAGACAACTGAGGGACAGCATCCATCCAGAAGAAGAAGGGGTGAGAAATGTGTTCAGAGAGGGCACCCCCGTCTGTCACCCACACTCCCACTTCCCCCAGCATCACACCCAGCTTTGTAGGGCAAGAGCCACAGCGCAGCTGGGCCAGGGGTCTCCAGACAGTCTGGGCCCCTGAAGAAAGGGAATACAAGGGGAGAGGTGAGCTACCACAGGGGTGCCTACCCTCCCACCCTGGCTCTCCCTGCTTCCTCTCCAGTCTGAAACAAGGGCAGCTCCTCATCCCTCTCCCTTGAGTTGTCAGCCCTGGCTGCCCCACCCCATCTGAGTCTCAGCCAGCAGAATAGTCCGCTCAGCCCCTCCAGCAGCCTGCGGTGCCCGGTGCCTGGGTGCTCGCCAGGTGCCCTGTGACCCGTGTCTCCCTCCCCCCTTCCTTTTGAAAGGTCCAACTGGGGCTCGGCCTGACTTGCCTCTGCCCTTCTGCCCAGCAACCTCTCCCACTTCAGAGGCCACGGTGGGCCCCGGGCCCCATCAACCCCTGCGCTGTGCCACAGGGACCCCTATCAACGGCCACCGAGGCCTGGTCCTCCCACCTGTCCCCTCCACCTCCTGGGAGGTCACATCCCGAGTTGGGAAGAACCGAAGTTTCACAAGGGCAGCGACCTCGGGAATGGAGCTGGCTCTCTGGGTTGGGCTAGGGACCGTGGTGGCGACTCCACACCCCCCTCGGGCCCTGCCCGCGCGCCCCGGGCCAGACGTTTCCCCGGCTCAGCGCCAAACACCCCGGAACCCGATTCGGTTCGGTCGGGGCAGTCGGGCGGGGTCCTGGTCCCCAGAAGCGCCAAGGGGGTGCGGCCGGGCGGGAAGGGGACTGGGCGAGAGCCGCGGACGCCCGGGGGCGGGGGGCGGGG